AACTTCATATCATTCGAAGACAGTTGATACATTTTCAAAGCATTGTCTTTTCGAATCATCAAACCAAATAAACAGTCAACATTGGTTCTGAAATAATAGGCAAAGTATATTTCTAAAAATATTAACGTAATACAATACATATACATGTTTTTCATAATTAGTCAATATTCATCCGATAAGTTCATATTTTCTTTTACATTGTCGATGCTTTTCAGACTGTCTTCTGATGAATCGCAATGTAAGAAAAAAAACTCTGAGATTAATTGTAGGAAATCTGCACCAGTTGCATATTCCAGCTATGATGTGAACGTGAATGCAAGTTACAAGATGACGGAGACTCATATTCTCAAGGGTGAATGAAGTAACCAAGGTATATATATATAAATGTGACGGGACGTATAGAGTACAACTGACGCACAAAGGAAGGAAGTGATATCCTACTTGGAACTTTCCAATATTTTTAATGTGTCAATAGAAAAACTTGAGTTACTCTGAGATAAAACCAATCAAATTTCAAGAAACATTTAGTAAGACTTTGCCATTCTTTAATAGAAATAAAATACTTACTATCTATCTAAAAGATGTATTGATCGGTAAAATAAACACTAAAGTTAAAGAAATAAATATCTAAAGACAAAAATCATAAATATATATATAAGTCATAAAATAAAATTCTGTGTCTTGTAGATGAAAACATCATCTATTATGTGTTGATAATTTTCAAAATATATATGACATCCTTTCATCTTGGAATTTATCTCTTAAGATTATATACTTTCCAAGGGACTTTTCCCTATGCAATATTATAGTTCTTTTCTTTTCTTCTCATGTGCGTATTTATTCATATGTGTGTGTGTAGTCATTCTTCTCTGTTATCTCTCAATAGTTGTTTCTTCTCGTTATTATCTGAAATAAACCAGAACTCACGTTCACATTCACAACACGTATATATATATGAGTGAAGAGCACAGCCATTGTACCGTTTAAGCAAAAAAATCGATAAAAACAAACTTAATAATGAGAGAAAACTAAGTGTTGCGTTTGACAGAGCGATGTCGATTGTACATGAAAATAATATTTTCCCAACACTTCCTTGTGTTGTTGTGGAGATTCACGAAATAATGATTTTTTGGAAGAAAATATTCAGAAAATGTTTATTAATCATACACGTTAGTATGAAACAATTCTTGGCACAGAGCTAGCTCATGTATGTTATTTTCATATATCAAGCAATTTTAGTGAACCATTGCTTCGAAAAATGTCGCCCTACGTTTTTCTAGTAAAATTGAATTTTCTCCAGAATGGAGCGATATTTTTAATTGAGTTTTTGGAGTATTACTCTACTCTATGAGCCTGAACAAAGATCAAATTTTTATCGCAAACGCTTAAGTATTCATTGAGCTATAGCAAAAACAAAATTAAAAATGTCGCCCTACATTTCGTCTAAAATTCATTTTTTTTTATCTTATATAAAATTTTTGCACTAACGAACTTTATGGAACAAACCTCTTTTATTTCTCAAATTATTTTTTTTTATCTTAGTTCTCTCTGATATCCAACCAAATTACAACAAAAAAAATTTCTCCAAACGAAACGCCAATGATTTTAATGTCGCCCTACGTAAAAATGAAAAAGTGTCTCAACGTCCATTATTGACAGGTTTTCATTCATAAAACTTTCTCTATTCTGAAAGCTCTTGATGAATGCTACAACTCTAGCTGCAAAATTAATTTAAAAAACAAAGCAATGGAATAAAAAAAATTGGTTTTCTTCTGACAAGTGGCATTAGAAGCTAGGTATTTAACACTGTTTCTATGATTTCTCGGGAACTAAAACACATGAGAACTTGATTTTTTCAGAAGTGAATGACCATCCTTAGATCAGTAAAATAAAAAAAAAATTATTAAAATCGACTGAGTGCATCTCGACTTATAAGCATTTTTCTTTTCGGAACAACGACTGTGCTCTTCACTCATATAAGTATCACGAAACTTACATTATGAATGATGATTGAAAAGATATTCGTATATCCACATTCAACATAATGAAATATGGTACATATTAAATAACATAAAGAGATGAATGAGAGAACTTCTTTTATTTCATTAAAACATCTCAGTATGTTATTCAAATAAATGGCTTTAGTAAAATAAATGTACCATATTTTGTCAAAAATTGACTATAATACTATTAAATAATATTATAATAAGAAAGAAGCTTGAGTAAGCTCAGCTTTTATCTTTAGAATTGTTGGAGTCACTGTTGGAAACTTTGATATATAACGAGTACAAATATGAGTAACTACCTTCTTCCAAAATGATTTTTTCTAGTCACGTCAGTTTTTTTCGATTATTTATAAAGTCTAACGTGTAGTTCCTATAGTGTTATTATTATTATCTACTATCTCCATGAGTGAGTAACTTTTGGTGTGTCATCACCAAAAGATGAAGGAAAAAGAGAAAAAGCCAAGCAAACTGATGACTAACTGTGCATGACAAGTTTAACAATGGAAAGTTTTGTATTATTAATAAAAGATCATTAGTCATATCTGTATCATATTAAATCTCTTACTAGAAAACTAACAAATTTTGTCGAAATTTTAAGACTATTTGTTTTGCTTATTTTATCATAGTTTGATAGAGTTCGTCGAGTTGTATAAGAAAAAGTTTATTTCAAAATTAAAAACAAATTTTAAAACATTTCATAAAAGTCAGAACTTTTTGGTCAGTTTTCTTTATATTTGAACATAATGATAACTTGGACCTTTGTTATTAATGTATTTAAGATTTGAACTACACTTATGCAATTTGACAAGCTCTATTTGTAGATAATTTACATATATTGTAAATTCATAAAAAAATCCATTTTCGCGCTCAATGCACACAAAGGTAACTCATATTTTAATTTGTCAGTTTCACACTAAGAGTTTTAATTTGATCTGAATATATCCAATATTCTTTTTTAACAATAAAAAAAAAGTTTCATCGTAAGATAAATATTTTTATCTTTTCTTTCCTTAAAGAAATCCACTCTTAGGACTCTCCAATTTTTTTTTTTCAATTTCGAAATTATAATCTCTAAAGATGTATTGGAGTGCTCTCGATCAAGTGCAGTAAAATTGAATCTATGCCAAGCCATAGAAGCCGCGAAAAAATTATTTTCGAGAAGCTTTATCTTGAGAAAAAAAGCTTATGAGTGTTTCAGATGGACATCTTAGGAGTTAATATTGTTTGATAGTTCTACAAGTATTTCTTAGAAGCAGTTCTTTATATTCATATATAAATGTGAAGTAAATAATAATTTAAAAAAAATGAAAAAGAGAAAAAAAGAATAGATGTGAAAAAAAACAAAATTTTTCTTCGTTTCGTTTTTTCCTCGAAAACCAATTTTCGAACAAAAAACATGAAGTTTTCCTCCTTTACGTCTATACGATTTGTCAAATGGAGCTCATGTTTTTTTATGAGTACTTAGATCAAATTGGGATGCTTGATTTTTTGCTTCAAATTTTGTTCCTACGAAAGTCTTCAGTCACTAAAAGGTTAACATCATTAAAAAAAACACGTACACCAATTTCATTCTAGTTGTGATAAGAAAAATTGCAGCTCGAGAAAATGAAACATCAAGTTTTGTCGCAGGTGGAGACTCCCAATCAGTTTCAACCTTCATAAACTTAATATTTTTCTCAAGGAAGTATTTTGGAATTTTAAGTCTATGATAACTTTGGGTTCACTTGTCGAGATCTATCTGTCTGTAAAGTTTCATAAGTTCTTGTCGAGTCATTCTGGAGAAATTTCGACAAGGAAAGTCTTCTTAAACCAATGTTTTAAATATTTTTTCCTTTTTACAATTATTTTTGCTTAAGGCCTCCCCCTCCCCCTCTCAAAAATCGATCTCAGTCCAGGTACGTGCAAATGGGCTGAACTTTGGAGAATATGTTGGGATTGAAGTGAGGAGATTGTGGTAAAATTTTCCGCTCGATATCATGACGTTTGACAGAGATATGAACCAAACAAGAGTCAAAAATAGCTCATTTTGCTTCCAAGATTTCTCGGTCCAGGCTCTGCCAATATATTCAAATTTCTTTTTGTTTGAAAGAGTATGTCAGGATGCAGGGCACCACAGAGTCATTTTTTTTAAATTCTTAGTTTTTTAGCGGAGAAAGGGGATCACAAGTTCAATGGCTCAAAAAACGCGCCAAAAATGGGTGTCTAGTTACATAAATGTCTGTATATATAATATAAAATAAAGCTTAATTAAAAAAGAACTCTGTGGTGCCCTGCATCTGGAC